CTCTCTTCTCTTTCTCCTCTCTTCTCTATACTCTTTCTTCTATTTTCGAACCTGAAATTTATTAGGGTTAAAGGCTGATAGCAGTCTTGAACGTCTACTCAACGTATGCATATCACATTCTTGAAAACATTTCTCTTAGCTCCACTTGAACGTGGTAGAGTTGTGGAGAATGGAGATCCTTAGCTCTATGGCCCATGCCACCATCTCAAGTGGCCTCCCATTTTGGATCCCATGTGGACAGATTATGCTCTTTGTTGACTACAGTTCCCTTGGTAATCTGAACAGTCCAGCATGGCTAGGACCAGAGGGCTAATTACATACCCAAAGAACACACCAATCTGATTTTCGAGTGTCCCAATTGGAAACACTGATGCTCTGAAGGTCAACATGATGGTTTTATGGGCAATCAGGTATTACAGAAAGTGTTCAATGTGATTCCGTGCTTTCAGTCTGTATGGTTCAGCTAATGCAACCAGATAGGCTAATAGAGCAGATTTGGGCCTGTAGTTGATACATCATCTCAATGAGAACATAAGACCATGGCTGATGAGCTAGCTAGAAGGGGCATGAGAAAGTTTATACATATATTTTGTTTACTGGGCTATCCTTTTTCCATATCAACGGAAATTTGATCTTATTGATTATTTTATACAAAAGAAAATTCTCATTACTGTGTGCTAGTGCTATATTTGGTAAACCCATGCCCCGTGGAGGGGAGGAAGTTATTTGGAAGATCCTACCACTTGCGTTCTCAGGTTGCATAAAAGAAGCATATATTATTATCTACTAGGTTTCTGTTTTCAGATTTCTGTGTTTTAATTAAGCTAGAAATCTAATGCTGTAATTTTTGGATTAAACAGTAGAAGGGTTAAGATTGGCTGACAGATGATATTACTATTAGACTAACCCACTTGCTGCACACTAGGAGGGAATTTAGAGACTACTATATATAGACAACATGATTTATGGGTGGGCTCATATCATGAATTCATCTACATCCAGACAGATGCCCAAGCAAGATTTGCCTCCTCAAGGAGTATTAAAACTAAAGTTTGATGGCTATTCCAGGTCCTTTGGGGTGAAAGATTTCATAAATGAACCAAGTGAGATTTTATTGACCTTTCTAGGACCATTTGGCCTAGGAAGCTGTATCAGGGTTCAGTTAAAATCATTGCTGCAATTAGTAGGGCTTATGTCGATTTTAGGAGTTCAGCATGTGTAAGCAAAGAGAGATTCTCAGATGATAACTGGCAGGGTCAGATATGGTGGTGAGGACCAATGGATTTTCTGGCACTTTGTGCAAGAGTCTATATCTCTGGCATCAAATATCATCTTGTTCAGGTGGATCTGGAGGTCTGCCAACATTCTAGCAGATAGTCTAGCTAGATAAAGGATAGGGGAGGGCATATCTCTTAATATAGCTATTTTTATCCTTTTTATGTAGTTTCTCAGTGTTAATTTGGCCCTTTAGAGGCTTTTATCTAGCTCCGTGTGGGTGCTCAGATTTGCTTCATATTTTCATCTTTGTTGATTATTATTTATTAATGAAGTTTGATCTCAATCAAATAAATGTATAAGGGTTAAAATAAAGCCACAATTCAGATGAAAGATCCTTGGGATCCAGAACCTGGTAGCGTTGACAATATGCTATATTAATGACAATAAAGAGACCTAAAGGTGCACCGTTGATAGATTTTTTCCTGGGTCTCAGTGCAGTCAACGTTAGTCTCTTTAATGAATTCTATCAAAATAGTTTTCATTGGTAGCAGCAAGGAGGCTCATTAACTAGTAATGGTATAAATGGTGATATGGTAGAGATGGAATTATATTCCAAGTTTGTTATACCATCTCTCCTTCCTTCAATGATGTTTCATTAATGAAAGATGATTGAAATGAAAAAGAAGAAAAACAAAAGAAAAAATTGTAGCAAAGCATCCATACCAAGGCATCAATTTTTGTGCTCGTCTGGAAATCTTCAAGACAAATTCTACTCAGAATACTTGAATGTCTATAACCCTTGATGGTTGTTTTAGTACCCTGGTACTCTGCATTCATCTTTGCTGTGAAGTCAACAGTAAGTGGTTTTGAGCACGATGGGCATGAACCTTGTTCCAAGGTTGTAGAGTAATCCACCAAACAAGCCTTACAGAAAACATGTGCACAAGCAGTAACCTATAACAGAAAGAGGCTTAGAAGACAATTAAATGGACTGCATGTAAATTGAAGGGTGATCAGAGTTAGAAAATAGTAAAATGACAAGAAGATTAAAAACAGTAGCTAACCACTGGCTCCTCTGCTGCATCATGGCAAATGCCACAATCTTGTTCACCAATAGAAGCATCTGTTGCACTTCCATTCCTTAATGCTGCTGTTTTAGAATAGACCACAAGGTATGGATGATCAACTGCCTATGAAATTACAAGAGAAAAATTAGCCAAATGAATTGGAAGAAGTCAACCAGTGAAAGAGTTACCAACTCAGCTCAACCTTAATACCAACTAGCTAGGGTCAGTATTTTTTGTTTTTTTTTTTATCAATAACCAAAATTTCATTAAAGAAGAAAATTATGAACTAGCATCCAAGAGAAGGGGTGAATTCTCTTAGCCCACCCCAAGAACAGACAAAGTACAATCAAAGATTTACAAGCATGCCCACAATGAATATGCCCTTCCTACCCCCTGTTTAGCTAAGGCATCAGCAAAGGAGTTAGCACTCCTTTTAACCCACTGAAGCCTTATTACCATACCCCTTGACAACTATCTAGGGTCAGTATAACGAATCTTGTCCCACAATTTTGCTCTATCAAGAGTCTGTATTCTGTAAGTCCTCAGATAAATTACCTATTATTACTTCAGCTGATATTTCTTTAGTCTTCCCTTTACTCTATAAGAGCTTTTACATGCACCAAGTATTTACTGGTGCAGTCATCAGTCATCTATACACATGGAAACCCATTCACTTGACATTCCCATATCTTGTTACCCATTGGGGAATTCCTAAATTCTATGAGATGTGCTTGTTTCTAATTCTGTCCTTTCTAATCTTGCCACTCTCATCCACCTCAACAGCATCCTCTCAGCTACTTTAATTTTTTGTACGATATAAGTGCAAAGTTATAGAGATAAGGTCATCAAGAAGACTTTGAAGCTCAGTGAGCCAATTCAACTTGAGTGACACATTTTCTATGTTCCAGCTAAAGCTGATTTTTAAGAAATCCAAGAAAAGAAAACTATTTTGCACTCACTACTCAGAAACCTATTGAGCTCAGACTGAACAAAGGGCCAACAATGTTATCATTTGTTTTCATTCTTTCACTTTTTTCTTTTTCCATAAAACAAAGTATGAAGAAGCACGTGAGAAGCCTAAAAAGAACAAGAAAGAGAAGCAATCACACCCCTTATCTCATCATTTTCCTTTAATCATGTTTTGATTATTTTCATAGTTGTTTCTCAGTTAGTTTTGCATTTATAGCTGATTATTGCTGTCAGAAGGGACATCTATGCAATGATTTGTCGAGGGTGGCAGCATATGGTGTCTATGAATAGAAGGATGACTTGGAGAGGTGTGATTCCCTCCTGAAGAGGAAAAATTAAAATTAAATTCTGATGGTTACAATTTTGGAAAATCCCAGAGGGAAGGGGGATAATGAGAGATGCTGATGAGAGGATTTTACTCCGAAACTCAGAGAGGGCAAAATTAATGTCAGTCTTGCAGGGTTTGAAGCTAGAAGCTGCTTGTAATCTGAACAATATAATATGGAGGGGGGACTGCCAAGTGGTGATTTGTTGGCTATGTTCATGGAAAGAAGCTCCATGGAATTTCAAGCATATAATCTCTCTGGGGGTGTCACTTAACATCCCCCAAATCTCTCTGATTGTTGGTACTGATCAGATGATGAAGGGCAAAGTAACCAAGAACAGCAACTGCTCAAACCGGAATCTGATTCAGCTTAGGTATTGTATGATTGTATCAAATTTCTACATAAGAAATATACAAGTAACTCGTGTTCCAGTAAAAGTCAACGCTTTTTGTTCCCAGAAAAAAAGGAAAATAATGGCTCCCTCAATATTTTCTTGACATGCAAGGAGTATAGTATCAACTAACCATTTTTAATTTTAACATCTAGTAAAATTGTGATATCTACCAGGTTTCATTCTGTCTAGCTCCTTAATACACAAGAAATCTATACTCTTGAAATTGAAGGTCTCTTAATTTTTTCAAGGAAAGTTTTGAGCCCTTTGTACAAAAGCAATAATTCTGTGGGTTTTCGAGGAAAGAAGGTATCATATGTCTCTAAATCTATGCCTAAATATCTCACTCTTAGAGTTCATGATGGGTAGTAAAGTCTAGTCTAATCTACCAAACTAGATACAATAAAATGCTGACCCATCTCTCATAAAACTTCCATTCCTCAAACAAGAAGATACTAGGAGCCAACAGCTGTTGCAAACTTGCAATATGTGGTACAGGCTAGTGCCAATGCATGGAGCTATATAACTTATCTCCTAATCCTGCATGTTGTCCTTTTCTGATAGGTAGGTGAACCTATAGATGCAACAATGCACCTTTTTTAAAAAAAAAAAAAAGATTTCCAGGTAACAGCAATTTCTTAGCCCAAGGTTTAATGGTTAGTATAGCTTCTTCCTCATCCTAAAATGCTCTAAGCAATCATGAGTTCAAATACACTTCTCTTGTCATCATGCAATGTCTGTTTCCATTTTTTGTTTTGAACAAAAAATGGCTTAAATTTTGGTAAATGCAATAACAGTTCTAATATAAAAATCAAAGAAAAATAATTGATAACTAAGTAAAATTTGATCTGGATTTCCAGTCTTCATCCCCTCCATCTTTCTTGAAATGTTAAAGTAGTGTTTTTTCATTAACATTTTAAGCAATCACTTGGAGTTGGAGCCGATGTTGCATGTTGTATTATCCCAGAGAGGTTGGAAAAAACATTGGCAGTGGCCCTTTATATTCCAAACCTGGTATAACAAGTTACTGGCAGAGGTAAAAGTGCATTTGTTCACAGACAACGGTAATGGAGTCTTCGAGTGGCCCAGCCTTACAACCCACCTTGATCCTCTCCTAGAACTTCACTGATGTGATAACATTATCCTTCAAATGGCTTAGCATAGTTAATGGTGAACATGACTCCTTTCTCTTGACCCCACTGCACTTCTGTGATTCATCTCAACTTCTCTCTCCATAGTCTTATTATAGGGTTAGTCATGGTTGTTGGGGAAGATAAGATGCCACAAAACTGGAAAAAAAGGAATTTTAATGTTCATCTAGTTTCACATACAGTTTAAGTACCTTGGATTTTGATAATGCAGCCACCAGCTTTATATTAATACCTAACTTTTGCTGACTCTTTGCCTTTTCCTTGATCTAATAGTATTCTATGTTATTATCTTCTTTATTACTATCACAGTAAGCTTCATCATGGACAAGTTATGTTATGGACACACCGCCCGGCAGCACACTGCGGCGCAGTCATAGGCAGCGGCATGCACAGCAGGCCGCACAGCAGCACGCACCGCCCGGCAGTGCACTAGCACGCACCGCCGCACCGCACGGCAGCAGCACTGTGAGACGCGCGCACTGCCCGGCAGCAGCAGTAGGGGGGGCCCACACGACAGCTCATCAGGGGCCCACTTACCTTGCCACTCTAGCCAACTCGCCGCCAGCTGTATTATCCCTCATCCCTTATCCTTACCTTATCTTATCTTCTTAGTAAGAGTTCGGTTTGCCACTAGAAGTAGGAGTTGTGTTACCATTAGGAGTAGGTAATTAGGAGTTTGAGTTTAAGTTGGATTACCCTAGCTTAGCCGAATCCAACAAGGAGTTTTCTTTTGTAATCTCCTATTTAAGGAGCTACAAATTGAAGTAAAGCATTCAATTTCCAGTCAAGAGAAGAGTAAGGAGAGTTCGGGTGGTCTCTTGGACAAATCACCCATTCGGAGAGTTCGGGTGGTCTCTTGGACAAATCACCCATTCGGTTTTCCACAATAGGTTCTGCACGCAAGGGTAGGCGCAAGGCAAAGCAGGGCTTTCTCCCCGTGGACCGACCCGTGACGAGATCCTACGCTCAGGCCCATAACAAGTTATTGTCATTTCTTTTTTTTATCACCTTTACCTCCCCTATTTTTTCACAGAATGGACCTTCATCAATTGTGTCGTTGTCTTCCTTCTTTAACCACTCTAAAATCTCACCATTATCATCCAAGCCTTATCTGGTTCCAACTATGTGGGGTTGGCTACATGAATCCTGTTTCACCATTCTTTCCTGTTTAAACCCATGTCCATTATTAAATTTTTGGTGCTTAAATCATTTCTTACTACTTCTACCCATGTCCCTTTTGGTCTATCCCTAACCCTTTGTTAGACAATGTATGCCCTTAGCTCCAATCAGAATGATGTACATTATGACATTTAATGTAAATGAATAAAGTACATATTTGATTCATATTATCATGGTGCGTTTCTGTGTAATACCCTTAAACTGGACACATATGAGACTCGTGTTAGTTTAGAATTTTCACAGCCGTTGGATA